CCTGGAGTGACATGAATAGATTAAGGACTGGCTGAAACCCAGACAATAGGATGCCCCATGGACCTGTGGTGGGTGGAACATGTGAGCTCAGCGTGAGCTGCAGGAGGAAGACAATGGAAAAGGGGTGACAGCAGGCTAGAATCTAAGCTGGCCTTTGGAGAGAGACACTAGCTGTCACGGGACTGACAAAGGGACACAGAGAGAGGAGCTTGGCTAGGTACCACCACGACAGCAGCCTCTCTGAATTCTGACCTGTCTTTATCACTGCTTCGCTGTGCTATCATAAGGCTTCCTGCTGTTGTGTTCCAGGTGATTAATAAGCTCTAACCTCTTTTGAAAAGGCTGCCTGGTGTTACTACAAATACATGCTGAGGTGCAATGATCCCTGCCAAGGGCAAAGTCTGAGCAGGAGTCTATCTCACTTGGATTCCTTGGGCAAGGCTCATGGTGGGAAGCAGGCATGCTGGAGCCCAGAGGCTCAGTCTGAGGCATTGAGGCCACAGGACTTACCTTTGAGGAAGAGTGGGAGCCTGTGACGTTCCCTTGGTGTTATCTGGACCGGTGATCTGCTAGGTCACTCCAATACTTGACTCTGGGAGCCAGCCTTACCCCGCTCTACTGTGAGAACCCCCACTCCTGGGCTGTTCACACACAGCCTCTGGCATATAAACTGCTCCTTGGATTATGCAACCGAATGACACTAGCCAATATCTCCGGTTCCAGACTCAGTTATGTCCGCTGGACGCTGCAAGCTTATAGGAGTTCGTCAATTTAACAAAGAAATTGATATGTACCAGGCTTGTTATCCCAAGGGGAGTCTGACATGCTTCAAAACAAATGCACTGCTTCAGGTGGAATAAACAAACAGATTTATTAACTACAAAGATAGTTTTTAAGTGATTATAAATCAAACCATAAGTCAAATTTGGTCAAATGAAATAAAAACAAAACACATTCTAAACCGATCTTCACAGTTTCACTGCCCTTACAAACTTACATACTTCTCACCACAGGCTGGCTGGTTGCCCTTTCAGCCAGGCTCTTCTCTTTGATCAGTGCTTCAGTCGCTTGGTGGTGATGTCTGTAGATGGAGGTGGAAGAGAGAGGAAGAGCATGGCAAACGTCTCTCCCTTTTATCATGTTCTTTCTTCCCTCTTCGCTTTGTCCCCCCCGTCCCCTTCAGAGTCAGGTGAGCATTACCTCATCGCTGTGCCAAACTGACCAAAGGAAGGAGGGGTGACTCACGCGAGAGTCCAATAGATCCTTTGTTGCTGCCTAGGCCAGTGTCATTTGTTCCTGTGAGGCTGGGCTGGGCTTGCCCCATACATGCCCTGATGAGGCGTGAACTGCCTCTCTGCTCTTGGGAGTTTTTGCCTGGGCTTGCTTTAAGCCATGAGGACACATTTTCAGCCTCAAAACTATATACATGAAATTACAACTTATAACAATGATTACTATAACATTACCAAAACAACAAGGAGTCTGGTGGCACCTTAAAGACTAACAGATTTATTTGGGCATAAGCTTTCGTGAGTAAAAACCTCACTTCTTCGGATGCAACATTTATAACATTACCATAACAACAATGCTCAGTAAATCATGAGCCTTCTGAAGACACCCGACATGACAAACTTCATGACTTGCATCTGAAGAAGTGAGGTTCTTACCCACGAAAGCTTATGCTCCCTATACTTCTGTTAGTCTCAAAGGTGCCACATGACCCTCTGTTAATAATGGAATACTATTTATTTGAATATTTTTGGATGTTTTCTACATTTTCAAATATAATTCATTTCAATTACAACACAATACAAATTGTACAGTGCTCACTATATTTTTGATTACAAATATTTGCACTGTAAAAAACAAAATAGTATTTTTCAATTCACCCAATGCAAGTACTGGAGTGCAATCTCTTTCTCATGAAAGTTGAACTTACAAATGTAGAATTATGTACCAAAAAACTGCATTCAAGGATAAAACAATGTCAAATTTTAGAGCTTACAAGTCCACTCAGTCCAACTACTTGTTCAGCCAATCGCTCAAACAAATTTGTTTACATTTGCAGAATATAATGCTGCCTGCTTCTGGTTTACAATGTCACCTGAAAGAAAGAACAGGCCTTTGCATGGCACTGTTGTAGCGGGCATCACAAAATATTTACATGCCAGATGCGCTAAAGAGTCATGTGTCCCTTGATGCTTCAACCACCATTCCAGAGGACATGCATCCATGCTGATGATGGGTTCTGCTCAATAACAATCCAAAGCAGAGCGGACCGATACATGTTCATTTTCATCATCTGAGTTAGTTTCCACCAGCAGAAGGTTGATTTTCTTTTTTGGTGGTTTGGGTTCTGTAGTTCCACATCAGAGTGTTGCTCTTTTCAGACTTCTGAAAGCATGCTGCACACCTCACCCCTCAGATTTTGGACGGCACCTCAGATACTTAAATCTTGGGTCGAGTGAGTAGCTAGATTTAGAAATTTCACATTGATATCTTCTTTGCCTTTTGTCGAATTTGCAGTGAAAGTGTTCTTAAAATGAACAACACGTGCTGGGTCATCATCGTGCTGGGTCATCACGTGCTATAACATGAAATATATGGCAGAATGCGGGCCAAAAAACCAGAGCAGGTGACATACAATTCTCCCCCAAGGAGTTCAGTCACAAATTTAATTAACGCATTATTTTTTTAACGAGCTTTCACGGATTCACAGATCGTGCCCCCTCTTGGCCCCGTGCGGTCCGTGGGGAGTGCCCCTTTTAGTGAGACAGCCCTTCTCGGGGGTCCACTCTCTCTCGAGGTCAGGCCCCTCCACCTCCTGAAGCCGCACCTCTCTGAGCCTTAGCACGTCTGTCTCTGCCGTGGGCCCCCTCAGGGAGTCCACTCGCTCTGGACCCCCGGGGCCTCCACCCCCGAAGGGGTTGATGCAACCCTGTTCTCTAGACCGGAGTGACTCTCAGCCAGCATAAAACAGGAGGATTTATTGAGAGTTGAACACAGCACAGGAAACTCTCAGGGCCTCAGGCCTGGCCTCCCTCAGCCCAGCACATCCCAGTCTCTCCGCATCCAGGTGGGCTCTGCCTGCTCCCCCGCTCCAGCCCAGAGCCCCCCTGCTCCCAGCTGGGCATCTGAGATCACCAGCCCCAGGCCCCGCCTCTGTCCATTGTCTTTTCTCCAGGCAAACAGGGTCATAAACCAGGGCCTCCTCTCCTCGCTTCTGTCCTCTGGGTGGAACCAGCTGGTTAGGTCACTGGGTCCTCACTCTGCAGCCCATTATCCGCCCACTGGCCAGAACCGGCTGCGTCTCCTCAGCTGGGCCTCCGGGTCGTCAGGTCACCAGTCGCTGGGATGTCCATCCTCCAGGCCATCGGCTGGGTCCCCAAGTCCTCTCTCCAGTCCTCTGCAAAACAAACTCCCTCTCCCCTCACCTCGTTAAACCAGTAACACCTAGGGAAACTGAGTCCCACCCCCTCCTCATGCAAACCATTGAACACTCCACAGAAAACAAGGAAACCCCCCACTTCGTCACACGAGCGTCATCAGCATGGAGGCATGTCCTCTGGAACAATGGCCTGAGCGTGAAGGGGCATATGAATCTTTAGTGCATCTGGCCTGTAAATATAGAATCATAGAATATTAGGGTTGGAAGAGACCTCAGGAGGTCATCTAGTCCAATCCCCTACTCAAAGCAGGACCAACACCAATATCTTGCGATGCCAGCTACAACAGTGCCATGCGAATGCCTGTTCTTGTTTACAATGTCACCTGAAAGTGAGAAGCAGGCAGCATTATATTCTGCAAATGTAAACATACTTGTTTGTCTGAGCGATTGGCTGAACAAGCAGTAGGACTGAGTGGACTTGTAGGGTCTAAAGTTTCTCATTGTTTTGTTTTTGAGTGCAGTTATGCAACAAAAAACCCATTACATTTGTAAGTTGCACTTTCATGATAAAGAGATTGCAGTACAGTACTTGTATGAGGTGAATTGAAAAATACTATTTTTTCATCATTTTTACAGTGCAAATATTGTAATAAAGATAATAGAGTGAGTGCTGTACACTTTGTATTGTGTTGTGTTGTAACTGAAATGGATATATTTGAAAGGGTAGAAAAACATCCAAAATATTTAATAAGTTTCAATTGGTATTCTATTGTTTAACAGTGTGATTAATCATGATTAATTGTTTTGAGTTCAAATCCAGGCTGGAGGCCTTTTGGCAGATGCTTTAGTCAAACAGGTTACTAGGCTTGATATGGGGGTAACAGTGAAATTCCTGGCCTGTGATAACTAGGTCAGGCTATACGATGCCACTAGATCTTAAGAGGCATAAGAACGGCCATACTGGGTCAGACCAATGGTTCATCTATCCCAGTATCCTGTCTTCTGACAGTGGCCAATGCCATATGTCCCAGAGGGAATGAACAGAACAGGTAATAAAGTGATCCACCCCCTGTTGCCCATTTCCAGCTTCTGGCAAACAAAAGCTAGGGATGCCATCCCTGCCCAGCCTGGCTAATAGTCATTGGTGGAACTATCCTCCATGAACTTATCTAGTTCTTTTGAACCCTGTTATAGTCTTGGCCTTCACAACATCCTCTGGCAAGGAGTTCCCCAGGTTGACTGTGCGTTGTGTGAAGAAATACTTCCTTTTGTTTGTTTTAAACCTGCTGCCTAGTAATTTCACTTGGTTACCCTTAGTTCTTGTGTTATGAGAAGGAGTAAATAATACTCCCTTATTCACTTTCTCCTCACCAGTCATCATTTTATAGACCTCTATCATGTGCCCCCTTAGTTGTCTCTTTTCCAAGCTGAAAAGTCCCAGTCTTATTAATCGCTCCTCAAAGGCAATGAAGGGTTCATTCCATCCAAGCCACCTCTGTTGGGAAGGAAGAGTAGATGGGAAATGCACTTTTCAGAAGGGTTAAAGTGGCACTGGGGCACTTGTCAGGCCATTGACATGGTCTCTTCTGAGAGCAGAGAACTCAACACACTGTTGATACAAAGGGAGGTTTTATTTCTCAGTCTGGACATTAAGAACATGTCTAAAATGGCTATTGGGGAAATCTACAAGTTTAAAAGCTTCAACTCTTCTCCAGGCTGCTCTTTCTCATAGCAGGAGCCTCACAGACAGCCTGCAGAGAGAGCGAGAGAGAGAGAGAGAGAGAGAGTCAGGAATGATGACAGACAACAGGTGGGGGAAGGTACTACATTTATAAACAGCAGGTCCTGCTGTAATGTCACATGCCATGATTGAGTTATGTCAAGGTTACAGAAGATGACCATGTTTTCAGAGTCAGAAGCCAAGGCATCAAATCGAAGGGTTGAGCCACCGGCTATACCAGTACAGTTAAAGTGATGCACCCTAGCGTTGAGGCAGTTATGCTGGTACCGGAGTCCTAGTCCTGGGATAGTTATTCCTATACGAGAAGGTAAATAAGCTCTACTGATATAAACACGTAGAACTACATCCACACTAGGGGTGGTACTGGGGACTACAGTGCTAAAAAGTCACAGCGCTCACTGACTTAATTGCCCCAGTACAAGATCTGTACACAGACCAGGCCTTAGGGTCACATGTTACTTATACAAGAGGGCACTATTTTAGTGTGCACTATATAGCCCCAGAGAGCTTCTGACTCAAAAGCAACATCAACCTGTTTCTAGTGGAGGAAAGTCCTCTAGGACGCCATGCTTTCAGGAAGTGACACTAGTTCAGTAACATTCACTTTGGGCAGGGAGCAACTTTGTTGGAGTCCACCCTTATTTGGGATCTTAGTTCGACTGCTCCCTCATTCCATGGGATTGTTCTGCTCATGAAAGCAGTGTGCCTTGAGCAAGTACCTTAGTAACTAGTCCCTTCAGAGACCGGACAGCAAATGTCCTAGAGTACAAGACATGCCCAAGCTATGAGTACAGTAAGACTCAGGGCTGACCCACTACAGCAGGGACATACAGGCTCTTGTGATAAACTTGATGTTATGTCATGACCCTTCCCCACCTCCCAGACAGTTATAACAGTTTAGTCCCACTCCCATGGTGTCCTGGCCTCATACCATTTCTCCAGGAGTGACCCTTTGGAGTCCATACTGCTCCTGAGGTGCTCACGGCCTGCATTTGTTGGTTTCCATCCCGGCCTCTCTCACCAAGACTGGACAATGAGACAAAAATGGAGAGGAGTTAGTACACATACAACAGGATGAGGAGTTAGCATGGCCCATGTCAGGCTGCCAGATAGTCCCTGCAGACAGCTCCCACATGCTTTCTGCATAGGACATGCCTGCATCACGGGACCCTGCCTCCATAAGCCCCATCCCCACTGCCACATGCACCTTAGTCCAGGTTATCCAGCTCTGAAAGGCCAGTTCTAAATAGGACCCCATGGCATTCACTTGGATCTGCCACCTGTGTGTGCTTGAGGGTTCCCCCTTCTGCCAGCTGGGCTTTCCCTTAGTGAGTCCTGGCAGGGTCTCTCTATCCTGTTCCATGTCAGCGTGCACTGGATTGTTTCCCCACAATACCCCTGGTAACAAGTAAGTCTTGTCCCAGGAGCAGGGGCAATGCCTTGGTTGTAAGCTGCCATGCAACCTTCCCAATGCAGCCCACATGTGAGCTTGGACCTTCAGCCCAGGTGAACGATGGCCCCCTCCCACCTTGGCAAACAGCAGCTGTTCAGACACCTGCATGGATTTTACTCCTGGCCAGGAGGGTTTGTGTAGAACGTGCCTACAGTGTCTGGATCATGAGCTCTCTGGGGCATGAGCAGTCTTGGCTTGTTTGCCCAGCCCCTAGCACAGCGGGGTCCTGCTCCCCATCTGAGGTCCCCAGGTGCTACCACCACTTGAACCCTGCTTAGAAAGCACATTTGCATTAACTGGCATAAGTCAGCATTTCCTGCTGCCATGTGTTTAAACGG